TTCGTCGTGGAAGTCCAGCTTCGATGTCGACTCGGCTGTGGACATGTTGGACGCGATCCGCGTCTCATTCGCCGAGTCGTTCTCCAGATAATGATCATCAACGCCTTATTTAACGCCATTTAGGCAGCTGGATGCCCAAACTCCAAATCCAACCAGTACCGAGTCTCAGTTCTAGCCCCGAACCCAGCGTTCGCTCTTGTTGTTGTTGTTGTTGTTGTTGTGACCGCTGGCGTTTGTGTAAGCGATGCCATTGGTGCAGAGGGCGAGGGGGCCCAGCTGTGACCGGGTGGCTGGCTGCCAGACAATGAAATGTAATGGCAATACGTGCATTTATTTATAACGGATTTTATTTAGCCAGAGCCGCAATGCATCTGCAACATTGGCAACATGCAGCTAAGTCTTCACTTCACTCGAAGTCCAAGTCCAGTTCCGAATACCTGGGCCCTGGGATGCGTTTAGTAACATGTATGTGTGTGTGTGTGAGTTGCAGTTACCCTCGTTACTTGTTAGCATTTTGTGGGCGTCTGTTGCTACACCGGCGCAGCTCGTACTTTATTATTTTAGCATTTGTGCCCATCGCGGTCTTTGGGCACCGTCTGCCTGGAACTGGCTTTAAATTTATTTCGTACTAAACGGCCAGAAACGTGATGAACGCATTTTGTGCGCCTCTCAAGCGGTTCTGCATCTTATTATACCCTATAAAAACTAAAAATGGGTAGACCTATGTGACAAAATAAAGTTGTGCTCGGCAGTGGGAGTAACCAGATTGGGAATTATATCAAAAGGAAGGAAAATAATGCAAAGATAATAAATAGTGGAAAACCCCGAAACTAGGACGATGTAAAAATAATATTTATTGGGAAATATTTTGTTTTAAAGTCAACTTACAAGTGTTACAAGCTTTTAAGGGTTTTTTTTTTTCTGAAAAACAATTCAATTTATTTTTAACAAAAATATAAAAACAGTCGTAAGCTTAAGTTGTTGAAGGAAATCGTGGAACTTCCTTAGCTTATCTTCATATTTGTATTATTTGTAAAAATATATACATGCATATATACGTATTATCAATAATTGAGTATGATATCGAGTACGTCTGTCTCCATAAAGGTATTCAGACAGGTAGCCAGACAGGGTAAAACCGAGTTGGGCACTTTTATTTCTTTGATATTTGTTTTTTGTTGTTTTGGTTTTTCTTTCTTTTTGCTTGCGGCTCAAGAGGAAATACTTTATGGGCATTGATAATTTGGGCCATAATGTGCAGTGAAATTGACTCGCTTAGCGTTTGCTAATTTATGTGACCGGCTTGGGCAACAATAACGTTGCAACAACGGCGATGTTGCAACCACAATGCGCTTGTGGGAAAGCAATGTTGATGATTTTGGGCGCCTTTGCATTTCATAAGTATTCACCTGGCCGTTGTTGTCCGCACAGCTACATAATTGGCATTAGGTGTTTGGCAATGGGCCAACTTGGCCAGCAGTCAAACAGTTAGCCATTTAACCAGTTGACTGGCCGCACTGCCATAAGCCAAACAATTTGTCATTGTCATTCGCGTGCAACGCGGCGCATGCGCAATTTCCATACAATTACCATAATTTCACTGCCGCCTTTAAGAATTTTAATAAACACTTTGCCCAGTAGCTGCGTACGCGCAGACAGCTGAAGAGTGAGCCAACCTCAACTGGCAGACTTTATGTTTAATGATCGCTCCTGGCGATGACTTTGACACTGCATCTAACAACTGCCGCAAACGCTTCAAGATGACGCTACAAAACTTGGCTCCGATTTGTTGCAGCATTTTCTGACATTTTCAATTGCAGCATGACTACTGCTGCTGCTGCTGGCGGCAGTCGAGTTTGTGTAGCGGAAAAAAGAAATACAAAAAAAAAAAAAAAAAAAAAACAGTGACAAACTACTAATAGCTATGCTTCTGCACAATTTATGATTTATACGCATAGCTAGAGAAGAGTTAACTTTCAGAATTTAAGTAATATTAGTATAAGACAAGGAAAATCAATTAAAGAGCAGCCAAGTTTGAATTTGCACCAATTTTCCACGCTTGCGAGTAGAATTGGCAAAACCTCGTCATAATGTTCACTTGCATCACATAACTTTTTAGAGGAAATCAAAAGTATATTCTACGATTCGGCACCAAAACACCCAGGCCCAGATAATGTGGCAAAAAATGTCGAGAAGTCGGAATTTGAAAGGCAAAAAAATACCGTCAATATGTATTTACCAAATTACGCATACCACAGGATAGACGATTGAACGGCTTGATGGCTGCCATGCTGCGTCTCACGACATCGACAACTCCATTGCCACTTACTCCATATTCAGCTATGGTCTTAGCCATTTTGGAGAGCAGTTTAAACGTGCAGTAAGTAAGTTGGCCACATTTTGGAAGCCAGCCAAAAAAACCTCGCGTTTGCGACTCACTTTCACCATGCAACATAAAGCGTCGTCATCTGCGTTGTCGTCTGTGCCACTGACTTGACCACGATAACCCACACGAAGCTGGTGGCGGGGGAGCGTGCGGCACATCGTTGGCCTGGTGTTAAGTGTAAAAAGCCATAAACATGTTTTTGCAGATACACATTGCAGCCAGGGGTCCATTGCACGCATGCCACACTAGGATGTCGATGCCAACACCAACAGGAAAAAATCCACTATCTTTGCCAAGCCGATGATAAAATACTCTTCTAGACATATGGCTTGGAAGTGCCTTTATTTTGAGTCTTAATTTCCGTTCGATTGTTTCGGTAGGAGCTACATAAAATATTAGCCAGAGCAAGAGCTTTCCATAGAAATACTCTTCCATCGATTCCTATAAGATATGGTTTTCCCAAGACGTATTGAAAAACAAAAACGGCCGACAGCTATAAGACATTGTTATCCGATTAGGCCTATTCCCATATATATACTGCCTGCAATAGAAAAACGATATCTTTTAGAGGTTTGGAAATATTTATGTATGTATATACTTTATGCGGTCGGTCGGACGTCTTCATCGATGCATTACAAGACTGATCACAAAATTAGAATAGCCTCTCGAAGGGTATAACAGCAACTGCAACAATGGCTTGCCATAAAATTTTGAGCATATGATAGCACCTAGCAAGTCCAAGACAGACTCTTGAAACTCTGCCTGTTGTTGTGGCTGATGTTGTTGTTGTTGTTGCTTATGCCATAAACACTTCATCGACACTTAGCCGAGTGCGTCGACGACCACATGTCCCCTTAGCCTCCGATCAGATCCTGCTTCGAGGGTGTGATACATCAAACATAGGCTGCAAACAACGTTTATTGTGGCTGGAGTAGCCCGAAACAGGGAACGTATTGGCGTTCGAATTGCGAGCGCTCGGCTCGGATCGGCTCGGTTGCTACACTTTCCTTGGCCAAGTTGCGGAAGCAACATTTAATTGACTTGGCGTGTTAAGCGCTGCATACCAGCACATAACAGCAATCAACCGACAAACAACTTGTGGGACGTGCGAGGATGACGACGACGACACACTTTGGGCACTTAGTGGCAACGCTTAATGCACGATGGAGCTTGAGGATGAGGATCGAGTGCAGCAGTAGCTGCAACCACGACTCCAACTGCAACTGGCATTCAAACAATGCCAAGTAGCTTCATAGTTTATTGAGCGCAGCTGATTGAGCGCGCAATGCGGCCCGGCAGCTCGTCAGGCGCTGAGACAGATGCAGTAAAGTCTCACTGCCCATTAGCGCTGTCACTTGGCGAGGCGGCGCATATCATTTACAAATGCTGCGACATGCACCGAACATCAAAACAGAACAGCGAGCCGGACGGTACACAACTGACAATGCCAGTGGCTGTGGCTGTGGCTGTGGCAGTGGCTGTGGCAGTGGCATAACGACGATTACCATCGCACGGAGCAGACACGGACACATCGAGGTCAGCAGCGATGCCGGCAGCGATGACCAAATTGCCGGCCGACACCGATGCTGCTGCCAGCCTTGGACGCATTTCAATAAAAATTACGCTTTGTAAGCTTTAAGCGGCAGAATCAATTAGCACAACGCCTGCCTTGCCAAGCTGGTTCCAGCCGTGCTCTCCCTGTGCAACTCCCTTTGAGCTGTCTTGTTCTTGTCCTTGCCCGATATCATATAAATATATGGATCATCATCATCATCAGCGTTGTGCTTTTGCGCTAGCGGCATTGCACCGCAAACACAGCACCAGGAGGTGACCACCTTAGCAGTGGGGAAATGTTGAATTGCTGCCAGAGATTCAGAGAACTTGCATTCAGCTAATTCTATCCGGATACCTATCCAGGCGTGACCAACAAAATGCCAAGGCTTGACTGGCATATACAATTTACACAGCTTTTACACACCATTCTAGCAATGTTTCTCTATATGTTTAAGTACTTGTACTGATTGATCGACTGATTGACTGATTGATTGCAGCTAAGAATCGGGAATATTCACTGTAGTTGTTTTGCCTGTGATGGACGCGCGCGTTAAGACGTATTTTTGAACAATTTCACCCGCTAGTGCGGAAGAATCGAGGAAAATTATTTTATTAATACTTTTTTACTTACCATCCGGTGGACCTCAAGCTCAAGCGAAAGTCATTCCTCTTTGCTGGACATGGTACTTAAAGATTTGGTAGATTACGTTTTGGATGATAATTCTATTCAGGGATCTTTATGAAAAATCAGAACTTAATGAATACGTGTTTCGGTGAGTTTGGAAGATTGGCGGAGATCGGTTCTATTTGAACTTATTTAAATGTTGTTTCAAAAATATTAGAAAAATAAATTTGAGACGTGTTTCACATATTTTTCTCAATATTAAGCCCTTCTTGCCAAAAATGAGGCTCAAAGGTTGTTCGCCTGAAGCTTTAATTTTCGCCGGATCTGCAAACAAGTGGGAAAAATGTTTGTAGACATATAAAAGCAAACATTGCTATTCAAAATACACACATATTCAAGCTGATTTATTTTTGGGGCACAGTTGAATTCATTTCTTGTTGACATTTTAAACAAACATCAAACAATAAGGTAGAATATATATATTTATATTTATAAACTTTTTGTGAACCTGCAATGCGTAAACAAAGCAAAAGTATGCTAAATGGCGGATACACAAGCAACACCGCCAAGACCATTATTTCCAATGGTTATGTCAAAGAAAAAGTTAGCAACAGTGTTGATAGTCTTAATAGAGAAAACAGTCAAGCTCTTGCTCAAAGGCAACAAATCAATGGGCAGTACTATAATCAACGGAACGTAACTTGCGTCGACAGTGTTGCACAACCTGCGTCGCCCGATTTGGGCGACAACGTGCCACATGCGTCATGGCGCTGCCACAAGCATCGAGCAAACCTTTCAAGACTGAAGCTGCCCTTCGCTCAAAAGCCAAAGAAACAGCAACTGCAGCCGCTGCAGCCACATCGACAGGAACAGACTCATAACAATCGAAGTCAGCAACAGCAGCAGCGCCAGGTAAATATCCACTGATGGTCACAATAGATGTCCCTTTTATCCTATGTGCTCATCCTCTAAGAAGGGGCCACTGCCGGGCGCTGCAAATCAGTGGTATGCGCTCAGCAATCGTGTCCATAAGCACGGCACCACCATCGAGATGTTGTACACTGGTCTAACCGTGCCGCAGCCAAGGGAGCAGCTCGATGTGCGTGCCATACCGGGAGTCACACACGTGACCATGGAGCTGCCGGCAGGGGTGTTGCCCAACATCAGAAATAGTACTCCAGACATGCCGTCCCTGATAAACGCCATGGATTTCTTTAGGTGCCCCGAGCGTCATCCACCCGCTCCAGGCATGGGGCCCAGCACGACCATTCAGGTCATACCCAAGGACAACAACAACAACGTTAACCCAACCAACATAGACAGCATTGAGGTGATGCCGTTGAGCTGTGCTCGGGCTGCACCCTTGAAGCGCAGCTCATTGAATGTGGCCTTTCAGAGCTACAGCCTGATGCAGCTAGAAGTCGATGAGGGCCAGTCCCAGGAGCCGGGCAGATTGGTCATGGATGCGGAAATATCGCCAACGTATATGCTAACCACACATCAGCAGCTGCGCCTGCAGGCGGCCATCATGCAGGAAAATGTGCCGCTGGCCGATGCTCTGCTGCCCATCGTGGAGGATTTGTATGAGGAGCACGAGCAGCTGGATCGTGCTGGGCTCCAATTGTTGCCAGCTCCAACACCACTGCCATATGGCACCATGCGGTTTCACTACGGCCAGCCGTCAAGTATGGCCAGCGCAAAGCCTGTCGCCTTGCCGAAAGCAAGGCCGGCTCGGCTGCCAGATCCTGTGAGCCAACAGTGCCAGGATGCGGGCCAAAGACGAGCCATACCGGAAAATGGGACCGTCGATTATGAGACCATTAATGGTACTATCATGGCACTAGATCCATATGGAAACTATCAACCAATGCTGTTTTCGGATTGGTGTAAGACAAAGAGCAACAACAGCAAATAGCCGAATCATCGTTAAAAATGCAACTGATTGATACAACTGAAGACTTAACCCATCCTTAGAACCATCCGAGTTTAACTAAAATGTCTTCACAAATTGGAATTATCACACAAACGAACGTATATTACAAGAATGAAAAAAAATTATAGTTATTGCGATATAGGTAGTTGAAACTCAAGATTACAGTCGATACGGTCGTAAAATAACACTAAATTTGATAATTGCTCTAAAAAAAAAAAAGAATACCAAAAGAAAAAAAAAACGAGTTGAAATTTGTAGAAACGAGCACAGTTGAATCCATTAAAACAAGCATTTCAGTGAAATCTGTCGTCAAGGAAGAACTCCAACAATTACACCCATATTGATTTATTTTTTCGAAATTTATAGCAGTCTTAACTATAAATATCTCCAAGGAATACGCATACGAACTTTGAAGAGAAATATCATTGATGTTTTGTGAAAAAACCGTCGCAGTTTTTTATGCATTTTGGAAGTCGAAGTCAATGAAATCTTTCATTATTAAACAATAAGGTGTTATTGAAAATATATATATGTGTATGTAAATTTATCTTACTTTAATAGCTGTTAATAATAGTTTTTTATGTTGCTATAAAGAGACATTTTTCAACAAAAACATTTTGCATTCAATTCATATAACCTTTGAATTGCATATATACATGTATATACATGTAAAGGTGTGTCATCGCATTCTCATACAATTTTCTCGATAAAAACGTTTTATGTACCTAATGCATATATAATATATAAATGAATTTAAGTGCCAAACATCACCCACCAAATTCTTTGACCCCCATTTCCACAAGGGAGGGATTGCAATTTCCCGAAAGCCCGTCTTTACGTGCGCCTTTATCACATAAGGCAAGTACTGTGAAAAATTCCGCTACAAAGCTCATATGGTTTGGGCTGTGCTTTGATCACCAATCAGTCAGTCAGTCAGTCAGTCAGTCAGGACAAACAGTCTTATATATAGAGATATATAAAATCAATGAAAAACTGTGTAGCTATTCTCTTTGGTGGGATTTCATGATAAGTGAACTTTTTGGTTAGATTAATTTTTAATTACTTTATTCAATGGTAAATGAGCATAAAAATAGGAATAATAATAAATGTAAGAAGAATATTTAAAAAAATAATAATTCCGAGACTTGAGCTGTAAACTGGAAATTATTCAGCCGAGAGCACGCGCCGAGGTGCGAGCAGCAACAAAGGAGCAACTTCCCATTCCATTTTACCTGTGCATAGAAAAGTGCGTGTGGCTTGCTTAATTAAAATTTAACGCAATATGCTTGACTCTGCCGGCAACCCGACCCGTTGCCAGTCATCGGCTTGGCAAGGGCGACCAGCTAAGTTTTTGGAGTGTGCTCCGGCTGAATGCCCCCAACCAGCATACTCGGCATCAAAGTATCTGCGATGTGAGTATCGCGACTTGGGTCGACCTGACGCTCTGGAGTTGCTGTTGCCACTGCAGCGCTGAGATTCGCGCCCCACTGGCATGCTGTAGTTTGTTCATGTTGAGGGTTTTGTCAAGAAATGAAAGCTTCGATGCTTGAAGGTTTAACGAACTCGTACGCTGGTACAACCCCAGCAGCGGGAACAGCAGAAACAGAAGCAGCAGGAGCAGAAACAGGAGCTGGAGCAGCAGCAGCGCCAGAACAATTTTCAGCTCCAGGATCATAAACGTCAACGTTTTCGCCTTTGACGTTTGCAAAAAATTTCGTTGCCCTGCTGCAGCTGCTGTTGCAAGTGTAATTTTTACTTTCACCCCAGCAAATGCTGCTGCTCCTGCTGCTGTTTATGTTTTTGTTGTCCCATGTGTGCGCGCTGCAACACTTGTCCTGATGATGACATTCATGCCCAAGAGCTACTCTTAATGGAACACAGAAGCAGGCAGATAGACAAGCAGCCAACGAAAAACGAGAAACGGGAAACGAGTAGCGAATGGGTGCACAGAGAGGGTGACTGTTGAAGGAAAGCAGCTAAATCCAGAGTCGATTCAAATTCAGATACACAAAGGCAACATACGGCCTGACCGTACAGCTGAGGGCGGCCCACGCGTTTTGCTCGATTTGTCTATGCAACATCCTGCAACTGAATGGTATCAAATGATCATTCGATTGCGGCTGCAAATATTCAAACGTAATCAACAAATACTGGCAAAGCCACAAGGCGCACAGCCCGCCCCTTGCCAGCAGTCAACTATGCCATGGTAAAATCTCAGTGCATTGCTCCCGCATGCCCCAAGTTGTGGCGCCGACCGCTGCTGCTGATGCTTAAGAAATTATGCACAAAGTGAAGGCGCACAAGTGCACAAAATAAAGCAGATGGCAATGATGTTGTTGACGATGTTGCAGGTGACCCATGCCCGAGTCCAAGTCGCAGCCCAAGTCCCTGTGCCAGCCCCAGCCCCAGCCCCAGCCCACAGTCTTCAAAGTTGTCAAGGAAGCGGCATCAGCGCTGACTGCCTGCTGGGTTGCCGCCATTGTTGTTGCTGTTGTTGCTGTTGTTGTTGTTGCTGTTGTTGCTGCATCAAGGATGCTAAAAACAATAGAAAGCACACACAATTATATGTGTACCTATGCCCAAGTATGTGTGTGTAGTTTGCTTTTTAAATAATTACGAAACATGCCAGCGACTCCCCCGCCTGTTCTCATATTTTGCATAATTTGTTGCCAAGTGTTAAACGGTCAAATGCCAGGAGACCCACAACAATTTGCGCAACCCTCGCGCTCGTGTCCTGTGGCAAGTACTTTAACCCGTCTCCATATGCAAACGCATTATTCAGTATGGACTCATCACGAATGCTCTCCCCCTTTCTGCTTCAACCAACTTCTTTGTATTACCCCTCTGGCAAGCACTCGTTCTGCACTTTAAATTTACCTGCACATTGGACAATACCTGCTTCTATCAGCGTAAAAACAAATCATTTGGTGACTAGCTTTAAAGCTGCGGGCTATTTTTATTTATTTTTTTAATTTATTTATGTATTAATGAATTCGTATGACACCATCAAAAACACTTCCACTGACTAGCTTTTTTTTTTGAAATTTATTTGCCACAGCGTTAAATGCAACGCCACAAATTTTCAATTTATATAAAACGATACAAAGATAATAAATAAATAAAATATAAAAAAAGATACCAGACTTGGGCTCGTCCGGGATTTGAACCCGGGACCTCCCGCACCCTAAGCGGAAATCATACCCCTAGACCAACGAGCCAGTTGTTCAACTGATGCCAAGTTGCCGTCAAGAGCTACCAAATGGCAGAGCCTGTTCAACCATTTCAACCAATTCAACCAGTCTAAAAATAGACCCAAGCAAGCAGCCGCAATCGCAAGACAGAAACAAACAAGTGAAAGTTGCTGATCAAACAAAAATACGTTTGCTTTGTATTAATAAATTGATGGACAACATTTAAAACGAATTGCATTTTTTGTTTGTAACAATGCAAAAGATCGCCTAAACACAGAACCCGTTCCCTTCGTTCCCCTATTTGCAATGGTAGCCAACGGGCGGGCGTACGAACTTTTTGGCAGTAAGATCTATTTCGCGAGTGGTGTTGATGTTTTCGTCTTGGTTATAGATATAGTATTCCACCTCGTCATCATCACTGGACGAGATGGTATATAGATCCATTTCCATTTCCTGTGCTTGTTCACGCAATTCCAGCTGACGCATATCCAACAGCTCGGGCACAAAGTCTTCGGACTGCTGCTCCGTGCCCGTCAGACGACGTTGTCCGAACAGCTCCATGAAGCCACTCTTTGTGCGGCGCAAAAACTGCAGCACAAAATCAGCCATCGAGGACATGGTCTGTTTATCTGCCAGGCGGAGCAGTAGCAGTATTTAGTAGTCAGCACTGGCGTTCGCAACTCACCCAGGCACATATAAGTGCACAAAAAATCTGCTAGAGAATTGCGCTTGAGTTTTTCCAGAGTTTCAAAGCTTCAACAATAGCCAAACTAAAGCTTCAAGCCAATATTGAATTGATGCCAAGGGGCAAAATCCAAAGCCAACTCGGAAAAGTGAAAGCAACTTATTTAGAAGCTGACTAAATGAAAACGACACTTTAGCATGTGCATACAGTCATCATATCCATACACATATATGTATCTATAGATACCATCCCCCCCCCTCATTTCACTTCATTTCTCTTTCACTCTGCCCCTGTGTGTCTTGCTTTCTCCCCTAACTGTAACATTCTCAGTTGCTTTGAGGGAAAAATTGCAATGCCTTTCATAAGCATAAGTATGCAATAAAAAAAAGTATTTCTCTTGTCGGCTGGGCACGACTGGCAGATACCTTGTAGCCGGTTATACATTACAACATCCTCCTTGGGTAATTTTTACAAGAATTTTTTCTTAAATACTAATCACAAAAATAAAATACTCAAGTAAAAATACATATGATATGCTTAGTCTATCTGCTGTATCTATCTGTATATATTTATACAGATACTAAATACTTTTGATTAGATTTTTTTCTTAAAATCATAAAATGATTTGCTCTATTTATATTAAATAAAGGGCAACAAAATTCTTCTAGATAGAGTCGTTCATCATGCTGGCCTGGTTAGCTCAACTAGACAAAACCCATTTCGTCTATTTGTAATGGGTACAGGATATATAAAAAAAAAAAAAAAAAAAAAAACAACTTACTTATGTCTGTACACACACCGACGTATACATTGGAGCTTAGGGAGAGCTGATATTTCAGCTGAGTGGCTCGACGAGAGCCTAAAGTGGGCGTGGGTGAGTGCAAAAAAGAGACACATGGCACTGTTGTTGCTGCTGCTGCAGCTTTTTGTAAGGGAATACAAAGCAACTGCCCAAGATAGAGCACACCGTTCGCATCTATCTGAGCCAAAGAATCTAAGCATTAAGTCAACCAAATATGCAACCAGCTAGTGGCTTTTTATGTTGCCACATCACTCGCACAGAACGGAATGCTTTGCAAACTAGAAGCACCCTGATTGTCTCACTGCTGCTGCTGCTGCTGCTGCTGTTGGCTCTTTGTTGTCTGTGGCAGAGGAGCGGGGCTGTCATTGGCGCACTTGTTGACAATGCATCACGCATACGTCGCGTAGCCGCAGGGACACGATGACAGGAATAAACGGCTTGATA